TATATATATATATATACACAACAGCAAAAGCTTGGCATGATTATAAGATTAAACTATTTACACTGCCTGCCAACTCATTCATCTCAACCAGGCTAAAGGAAAGATAACAATAGACTATTTATTCCTCTTCCCCCATCCTTCTCTGTTCAGGTTGTGAGAATCCCAAGCCTTGTCAAACTGAGCTGATGGTGTTGGAGTATGGGTTGTATGACGGAGACCCTGTCACAAAGGTGCTGCTGCAGCCACTCACTGGTAACAACACTCATTTGCTTCTTGACATATGAGAGACATTTTTGTGCCTTATTGAGAGAGAAATATTTTCTGGACAGTAGTAAAGGAAGTTAACATTTCCAGAACAGTAATGAAGTTTTTTCTGTTTGAAAATTGGAGATGAAAACCAATGATTAGCCAGACAATGAAATATATTTCTATGTAATAGTTATGCAGTTTCTCTAAATTTTGTCTGGCCATTTGATTATGGTTGCTGGGTTCAGCTTACTTCAGGTAAAACATCTTCATCATACATTAAAGGCCGAATAAACCAAAATAAAAGTAGAATGACATTGATGAATAATTGACCTTGAGATACTTTGTGTATTTCATTAAAATGCTCTGTCTTTCTCCGGCTCCTCACCGCCACCTTTTCCCTCCAGGACGAACCCACCAGTTGAGGGTCCACTGCAGTGCAATAGGCCACCCCATCGTCGGGGACTTCACCTACAGCTCGGGGGCGGACAATGCCCCCTACCGCATGATGCTGCATGCCCACCTCCTCCACATTCCCCTGGAACCTCAGCCCCTGCTCGTCTCTGCTGGAGACCCCTTTCTGCCCACGGAGGATCCCAAGTGGCTTCCGCAGCGCTCGTTACGGACACTGGCGGCCACTGTGGAGGCCCTGCTGGAGCAGAGGGTGGAGGAGGACAGGAAGCTCAAAGAGGAGGAGAGAGAGAGGGCAAGAAAGAAGGAGGAGAGGAAGAAAGGAAGCAAGGAACAGAGGACTAAAGAGGAGAGTGAGGAGCAGAGGAGGCAGTGTCAGGAGTGGCTGAGTGAATGGGCTGGAGACTGATGTTATTGTTATCTATTTTAATTTATTTTAGCTGTTTACTTCTGAAGGCAATGTTGAGCATGAACGCTCCACCTCACTGACCACCTGCGTTGCATTTAAATGTCATACATGGATGTGAACAAGTACCTTAATTGCCTCACAAACCAGTTAACGTGTTAGAAAAAAAGCTGTATGTAAGCTGCTGCTCTCTTAAGCAATTCATACAACTGGGAGCTGCCCAGTATAACCAGTGTTTGACAGTGAGATATAAGTGCCTTGCTCCAAGTTCATGTTGATAAGTGAGCGGTCGAGTGGATGCCATTCATTTTTCTAATACACATTCCACCCTCAAAAGTGGACAATTGTTTAATTGCTGATTTCTGTCACAAGTCTGTGCTTATGGTCAGATGACTTAACAATGCTGCATGTTTGTAACATCCCATGTAAAAGCGAATAGCCGACTACACTATGTTTCGTTATATTTTAACACACAGTCTCTATAATAAGATTCGACTCCCTTCAATGATTTTTTTTAAATGTTTGATTGAAGCTTTGTATCAAACTGTTTAACATAGAAAAGCTTTTATGTCAATGTAAAAATAAATGTCTGCAAATGAATCTTGGTTCAGCCGTCTCTTCTCATTCAAAGGATGTCCTGTTTTCCCAGGGACAATAAAAATAGCACCTGGGACACAAAGGCTATGTTCACACTGCAGGCAAAAGTGGCCTCAATCAAATATACTGTGTCTGTGATAATTCTGTGAAAGTAGAGGAATTTATCATTGCAAATGAAATCACATTAATGCGTCATTCGGTATTATTATCATTTTAGTTGCTAGGTGTTCAAATTCAAAAAATGTGTTGAAACAAGAAAAAAAGTTAACTGTAAGCCATAATGTTTACTGCAAAGACACAAGTGCAGGGGAAGGATGCAGGGACATAACTAGTGCACTGAATATCCTTTGGAGTACAAAAACATCTGTTATAATAAAATGGAATTAATAGGCACAGCTGTCAGTTTCCCTGATATGTGAGAAGGGCACGGTGGAGAGAGGCCACCAAGGGGTCCATGGCAGCAGTGATTGCATTATCAATTTGAATAAACAATGACCAAGTTAGGCCCTGATAACAGCTGATCATTGCAGTCACGAAGCAAGCGATCTGTTGCAGTTCAGGGTGAGAGCTGACTTTGCTGACTTTAGGCAGTTGCCTAAATGTAATGTGTTGAGCTCAGAGGCCTCATAGGTAGCTCCTGCTGCCTGTTGCTGCACATAACATAAGGCTGCATCATACAGCTTATAATTATTCCAGTGGAACACATGCAGTCTTCATCCTGCATTACAGGTTTCTGCACGTGGTGGTGGTGTAGTTACAACCTTTTCCAGTCATCCACTGTCCACAGGTGAAGTTTCTTGAAACTGCATAACAGTATCTTTAAAAAGCCTGTCATGAAAAAAACTACACCTTTCTGATGTTTCACACCAAGTCAATTCTACAAAGGTTGAAAGAGAAGTGTATTGATTACTGTTTATCTGTAGTACTTTAGTACTATGTTACCTTGAAACAGAATTGCACTGGAAGCTGCTTTTGTGTTACGAGCACTACGAATAAAGGTGCTCCTGCTCGTCCAAACAGATTTGCAGATGGTGAAATTTATTGTCCATGATGCTCAGAAGTTTGAGTACCATCCCCATTAATGACACAAATACTACTAATTAAATGCAGAAGGGATCAGTATATAGCATTAGGACTCCATTGAAGAGGACCCTCTCCCTCTGTGGACAGAAACATCTCATTGTAAGTTAATGAAACATACACTAATGAACGTACCTTTTAATATTATACTCCATTTCTGCCAATAGATACTCTTACATTTTACACACTTGACCTTTAAAACTAACCCCAAGGAGTATCCTGACAAGAACTACATTACCCACAATGCCCCCGTGCTCCGAAGTCAGCCACAAGGAAGCGAGGCACGAGAAGCAGCCAGCAGCAGAATGAGCGTATGGTAACTGTTTTGTTTGAGGAAGAGGGAGTTTAAAAATTTGGACTCATTTTTTACTCGCCCTAAAGGTTGGAAGCACAACATAAATTCAAAATGAGCTCCGTGGTTTTCTCGTACGAGAGTCTGGTTCACGCTGTGTCCGGAGCAGTGGTAAGTTAGCCTTACTTTCACTATGCATGTCTGTAAGTGAGTGCATATGTCAGTAGGTAGAGTCAGTGCTCATGAGCTGTTTACCATTGAAACTGCGCCACATAACACATTAAACAGACCAAGAGTTGTATTAGGCAGTAGCTGGTATTTCATATAACTGGCCGAATTGAACAATGTTTCATGATCATTCGGAAAATACAGTATCTTAGGTCTTAATGCGTGTTTTGTGCAATACACACCTATGCACCTTTAAATTGGTACATTTGTCAATGGAGTTTGGTGTAAGATTTCTTATATATGGAATAAAAAATGTGTTCTCTGTTTTAGGGAAGTGTGACTGCCATGACAGTATTCTTCCCTCTTGATACTGCCAGACTGAGGCTTCAAGGTAGGAAACAGTAATGACACAGTCTCTTTTACAGTGATAACATTCAATGTGATTCATAAAAACAACAAGTTGTCTTTTTGTTTGTGTTCAGTGGATGAAAATAGGAAGGCCAAATCAACTCCAGCCATTCTGGCAGAAATTGTCAAAGAAGAAGGACTGTGAGTGAAAAATGTTAATAGACCGGATTTGATTTAGCTGCTTGCCATTAAATTTCTGAGTCTGTGTGTTAGCATTGTGAGTTTATGGATGTAACAACAGATCCTTGTTTACTAACAGCATATACACTGCTGTCACAGTGTACCCATCGTCATTTTCAGCACTACAAATGCTGTTATTAATTTTTATCCTATAGTGGAGTGTTTATCATTACTGGCACATATTAGGCTCGTACTTTTTTGGTATCCTGGCCTCCATTAAACAATGTAGCACACAGACATTCATACATTACAAGCACCATTATGTCCCCTACACAAGGGCTGTAACATGTGTTCTTCTGTTTGCTGTCCCCTTGCTGCAGACTAGCTCCCTACAGAGGTTGGTTCCCAGTCATCTGCAGCTTGTGCTGCTCCAACTTTGTCTACTTCTACTGCTTCCACAGCCTCAAGGCTAGCTGGCTGAAGGGAAAGCAGTCAGCACCCAGCACTGACTTAATCATAGGCATTGCTGCAGGTAAGACTCCTCACACCTCATACAAGCCTTGTTGTGGTGACTCAGAACAAGAAAGTGTTTCTTTGGTTGTTAAGTTTAATCTGCCTCCCTGTCTCTAGGTATTGTAAACGTACTGGTTACGACTCCTTTGTGGGTCGTCAACACCCGGCTGAAGCTTCAAGGTTCCAAGTTTCGCAATGCAGACATACGTCCAACCAATTACTCTGGCATCCAGGGTAAATGATCGACCACGTACAATGCATGACATTTAGTGCCATATTTGGATGCTCTATGACCCCTCTTTCTTCATCTTTTCTTCAATCTTTTGTTTGTTTTATTTTTGCAGATGCATTTGCGCAGATCATTCGCGATGAAGGCGTGGGAGCACTGTGGAACGGGACCTTCCCGTCCCTGCTGCTGGTGCTGAACCCCGCCATCCAATTCATGATTTATGAGGGCCTGAAGAGGCAGCTGAGGAGAGGAGTTCCCAGGGAGGTGAGTGAGAAACAGAGAGATTAGGGAGAGATTAAGAGAAGACAAACGTCTGAAGAAAAGGAAAGGAAAGATGTGTTGAGCAATCCAGGCACAAACATTTTAGAGGAAGTAATGCTGGGTAAGAAAATGCAGACGTAGGGAGAAGGAAGAT